AAGAAAGTGTTAGAAGATATTAAGCAGACAGTCTACTAATACTCTACTAATTGCTAGTTGACATGTAGTTGTAATGTTATTTACTGTTAATAGAATGTCTAAAGTGGACTATCGAAATAAAGTGTTACCCAAGATGTTAATTTTTTTCACCGCCAGATTGATACCTATAATGAAATTGTGGCGTGCGTCATGGCAGGCGTGGCGTACTGGTGTGTTCACTGCGCAGACGAGGTCCTGAGCGTTGTGGAACACGTTTTCATTGAGGATATCTCTGTACTTTGCTCCATTCAGCTTTCCCCTCAACACTGACTAGTCTCCCAGTCCCTGCACGAGGCTGCTACCAGCACACTTTACTTTTGGAATGGTACTCTGCAGGTGATGAGCAGAGCTGGTTTCCTTCAAACATGCTTAGAATCATCATTATCTTGTTTCTCAGAGTCTGAGGGTCCTTTAAGTGAAAGTGTGTTTTCATGTGTCTTGCTGCTGAGGAGAGGATTGAGTTTGGCCAGACTGTACTGGTGTGTTCACTGCGCAGACTCGTTGGCATGATTGAGAGCAAACGTGAGAGGTCACGGGCCTACGGCAGGGTGTGGCCAAGTAAAAAAAATACAAATCTCCAAAAACTCCTAGTTTTATTGTTCTCCCATCTGCATATATGATCATGGAGCTCAACTGGAGTGACCATCAGGTTCTTGGTCACCAGTCTAGACAAGGCCCTTCTCCATCAATTACTCAGTTTGGCTGGGCGACCAGCTCTTGTAAGAGTCCTGGTTGTGCCAAACTTCTTCCATTTGATAATTATGGAAGCCACTGTGATCAGCTACAATGAGAAAGTAGCTAAATTTAGCGACAAAATCCCCAAATTGGCAACACTGAGCACCACGCTGCCATTTAAGAAAAGTGAGTGAAAAGTGAGCTCAGAAAGCCACATCCTCTTGTTTTCATATGGGCAGGGCAAAACAACATGACCCGGTCTCAAATGACAGCGCCACACAAACCGCTGCTCATTGCTCCAAGGCCCTTCTCCATCAATTACTCAGTTTGGCTGGGCGACCAGCTCTTGTAAGAGTCCTGGTTGTGCCAAACTTCTTCCATTTGATAATTATGGAAGCCACTGTGATCTAGTGATGTTACATATGACACTGAAGCTTCAAAGCGCGTATCGGGTAAGTAGCGCAATTTCTCACGAAGCTCTGTGCTGGAGCGCGTATTGTTTTCAGAGAATCACGTGATCAGCAGAAAATTAAGCCTCACTATCTGTCCAATCACGTGCGCGTGTCGGAATGTTCGAAACCCCAGATCTTAGTTTACGAGTAAGTTTTCATTCAGACTTATTCAATTCAGAAAAAAAAATATTTGGCATATGCATTTCATATGTGTACATTATTTTCACAGGCTTTTGGCTACTATATTTTTTTATTTTTGACACTCGCGAAGCTTTGAATCTTTTCCCGAAACAGTGCTTCATGAGGCTTCATTTGCCCATCACTACTGTGCTCTTGCTTCAGTGCAGCAGACATTTTTATGCTTGGGACGGCCCACATAAACGAGCAAAAATAATAATAATAATAATTTCTGAACATTAAACATTGACTGTCAGTCTTTATTCACCTGTTCTTCATTGTTTCTCATTAAAATGTAGTAAAGTAAATAGTGTAAATTACATGGCTAATGTAATAGAATAGCATATTGTAACAGTGTTACAACGTGCCCCATCTGCACAACAGGAATTTAAAACTGGTTAGTGTCTTCTGCTAGTTAACAAAGCATTAGAAAAACGATCTGAACTGAAAACATAACAGATTGGAGATTAAAATAATAGCAGATTTGTTTCATTTTAAATGAATAATAAAACCTGAGATGAAAAATAAATGTTCAGCGATATCTTCAAAGGATTTTTGAGGAGCTATTTTAGCTATATTTAAATAAAACTAGCGATTTTTTTGGCGATTTTTTTACTTGGCCACACCCTTCGTAGGCCCGTGACCTCTCACGTTTGCTCTCAATCATGCCAACAGGCCTACGGCAGGGTGTGGCCAAGTAAAAAAAATACAAATCTCCAAAAACTCCTAGTTTTATTGAAATATAGCTAAAATAGCTCCTTGTCACAAAAAATTTAAAAAAGTCGCAGCTACAATGAGAAAGTAGCTAAATTTAGCGACAAAATCCCCAAATTGGCAACACTGAGCACCACGCTGCCATTTAAGAAAAGTGAGTGAAAAGTGAGCTCAGAAAGCCACATCCTCTTGTTTTCATATGGGCAGGGCAAAAAAACATGACCCGGTCTCAAATGACAGCGCCACACAAACCGCTGCTCATTGCTCCCCAGCAGTGTTGCCAATTTGGGGATTTTGTCGCCAAATTTAGCTACTTTCTCATTGTAGCTGCGACTTTTTTTTTATTTTTTTGCGACAAGGAGCTATTTTAGCTATTTTTAAATAAAACTAGCAATTTTATTGGCGATTTTTTTACTTGGCCACACCCTGCTGTAGGCCCGTGACCTCTCACGTTAGTGCAGCAGACATTTTTATGCTTGGGACGGCCCACATAAACGAGCAAAAATAATAATAATAATAATTTCTGAACATTAAACATTGACTGTCAGTCTTTATTCACCTGTTCTTCATTGTTTCTCATTAAAATGTAGTAAAGTAAATAGTGTAAATTACATGGCTAATGTAATAGAATAGCATATTGTAACAGTGTTACAACGTGCCCCATCTGCACAACAGGAATTTAAAACTGGTTAGTGTCTTCTGCTAGTTAACAAAGCATTAGAAAAACGATCTGAACTGAAAACATAACAGAACATCGCCATCTGTTCAAGAATAAAGTTCAACGTAAATATATACTATTTAAATACTAATAAAGAGGGGGAATATATGCTTTCATCAGTGTTTTATGATAAACGTGACTCAATATAACATTGCGACTACAGTAAAAAAGCTTATACTGTTCTAAAAACACAGATTTGTGGCTATTATTGGAATATTACATGGCTAATGTAATAGAATAGCATATTGTAACAGTGTTACAACGTGCCCCATCTGCACAACAGGAATTTAAAACTGGTTAGTGTCTTCTGCTAGTTAACAAAGCATTAGAAAAACGATCTGAACTGAAAACATAACAGATTGGAGATTAAAATAATAGCAGATTTGTTTCATTTTAAATGAATAATAAAACCTGAGATGAAAAATAAATGTTCAGCGATATCTTCAAAGGATTTTTGCATTTTGGCGCACTTTTTTTCTATATAATGTTGATAGGGTAACTAATAAATACTGTAAATTTTGTTATGCTAGCATGTGTGGAAATATTCAAACCACGTGTGTTACAACTAACCCCGCGTTCCTTTGTGCCCCATGCGTGTGTACATCATTTTAAATGTATTATACATTTTATATTTTAATGTTGCTTTTATAAAAACTATATTTAAAATAGCTATTAAATGGAGCATAGTATAGGTCATACTGCATGACACTGTTTGGATATTCATGTACACTATTCATAACATTTTTCTTTTATATTTATTTTTAGATCTATAATGTAAAACTATTTATATTCGATTGCTTTTATATGTTACATTTACCGTGTAGGACAGAGAGTAAAGGATATGTCCTTATCAAAAAAGAAGAGGATTGAACTTTGTCAAGAGCAAACAAATTCTGATTCGACTCTCCGCCTCCCCTAAAATCCTCCACCCCTAATCCGAATACTTGCGCGGTCCCCTTAAAGCACCACCAGTGTTGCCAAACTAGTAAAAAAGCTTATACTGTTCTAAAAACACAGATTTGTGGCTATTATTGGAATTGAAACGGTTAGAATACACCCGAAACACAGGTGAAAGTTGTCATACGGTGAATCTGGCCAATCGTGAAATGGCTGTGTCGTCATCAACGCTCCTGCAGCCGCTCTAGACAATTGTGTTATACTTAATCTTTTGTTATATTTTTTTATACTGTCATCATTTGTAAAGTGCATATATATTTACTTTCTTTTACCTTTACCAAATTGACCTGTATTTACTTTGTTTTCATATTTGGCGACTTTTTGTGAAAAATGGAGACTTCTGAGGGAGGGGTTTGGCAACACTGCTCCCCAGTGAAAGCGGCATTTTAATCGAGGGAGTCGGTGCTCGATTGCTCTGGTCTGACGCGAATATGGCAGAATCGGAGTATAATAATGTTTCAGTTCCTCGCTTGAGCTCCCTTCTACAAATGGATCCTTACCTCAAAACCTTTGAAAAGGACTTCCAGAGGAGGTAACACGTGCTTTTAAGCGTTATTTGCATCCTGTCGCTGGGTAATGGTCCTGTGCCCGTCCCAAACGCACACGCGTGTCTGTCTGTCAGCCCTTCACACCCGGCACTTAGGAGTTGTTATATTAATTCAGTGTAGTGTCCATTAAGAGACAGCTGCTGGATGCGCTGAGCTGCGTGCCCTACTGAATATGTAAATATGGACATCTAATGGTTTCTATGGAAGCTTGATGGCGATGACAGTTCACTTCTCTGCAACGAACACGTTCAGCTGCAGCACAATGAGAAAACGCTGCTTTAAGAGGACAACCTTTTTTGGTCTATTTTGTGCATAACAACAATGCTACTAATAATAATAATAAACAAATATACTACCTACAAAAACAAAATAATAATTTTTGGAATTAATATCACAATGTTTTGTCATTAATTTGTTGCTATCTTCTAAGGAATGTAAACAAAAAATATATATATATAAAAAATTGAAATATACGTGATCATTTTAATGTTGCACTTTTGCACTTTTTTTATTTATATATATATATATATATATATATATATATATATATATATATATATATATATATATATATATATATATATCCCTTATAAGTTTATTAAGGCCCCCTAGTGGGCTCCAGTTAATATAATTAATAATATGTACTGTAGTCATACATTTTTTAAAAGCAAAATACAGTAGAAAAACGTTAAAATGTTGAAAAAAATATATTTTGAAGAATGTTTGTAAACAAACTTTAACTTTAATTTGATGATTAAAAAAAAAAAAAAAAAGATTGAATCCAATATAAATGTTTTTTTTTCTGCTGAACACAATGTTTCTGTCAGTTTCTGGTCCCCATTGACTTCCATAGAATGTTTTTCTTGTTTTTTACATACTGTGGAAGTCAGTGGCCAGTCTCGAATGTTTGGCTTGTTTCAGCTTCACATTAATAAACAGGACAATATCAGTGTTAATGTTGTAATTGGGACAAATACATTAAAATGTCCGCATCAAAAGATTTTACAAAAGTGATTTTATGCATAGAAAGCATATTAAATGCAAGTCAGGTGTCTACTTTTAAGGTTTCAAATAAGTTTTGGGAGAATAAAATGTCAAAATGTGGGTGAAATAATGTTACATTGTCATTCAATGTAATGCTTATATTTATGTAAAAATTTAAACAATATATTTATTCTGACCTGTACGTATTAAAATATACAGTATAAAAGAATGAGGGAGCATACTAAATTTTAAGAAAGTAAACAATTCTTGCTGACAAATGGCCAAAATGGGATAGTGGCAAAGTTTAAAAATATAAAATTACAAGTAAGTAGAATTTGGAGTAAAACTAATTAGTCTTTTAATATGTCATAAACTGACTGACAAGACTCTGAAAACTGACTGAATTACATTTTAGTGCCTGTTTTCTGTAAATCATGGTAAAAATGTATGATATATTTATTTATTTTAGGGGTGTGCGATATTGACAAAAAATGATATCTCGATATTTTATGGGATTTTATCATAACGATAATTAGACGATATTTTGCTGAGTGTGTTATTGTGCTGGTACCTTAAGGACTGCCGAAGACAGCTGACTCCTAATGTTTTTAATATTCTTCATATTCTGTGTGGTGGTCAGTTCATACTGATAGAAATTAATCTTTTAATAATTTTGAAAAACAACAACGGGGTGTCTTTAAAAACCCTTTTGTGTGGAACTACTTCCTTCCGCCACATATTCAAATCTCAGTTTGACAGTTTAACAGCTGAACTGAAGCCTCCGTTACTAATTCGAAAACGTCACTTTAGAACTAGTAACGAAGGAACGTTGAGTTGCTTCATTAAAAACTTATTGTATTACTTAATTAAAAGCTCACTGTATTATGTAGAGTAGAGTATTGTGAGAGAGAGATGGACTGAGCGAGTGTGATTACCTGCATCTGAGACAGCATTCATTCTTAAGCTCTATCTCATCTTCACAATAAAACATTAGTTTCAATGTCCGCTGAGGAAAGCATTATCTTTGTCGTACTGTCTTTCATCTGTTAAAGGTGATTTCCGATGACAGCGCTGCTCAGTGCATTTGTTAACTGCGTCTTAAAAGCTGTTATTAAAAGTAAAAATAACTTCCGTTTTAGTCTCTTTCAATATAAAAGCCTTAAATGCTGACTCGTAAAACATTCACTTGTCGCCATCTAATGGTGGTACAATGTCACAAAAATCACGAACACACACAGTTTCCCAATTCTAAATACTACTATGTATATAAAATATTATTTATTGAATAATAAACAACAACAGCCATCATAAAAGCCATGCTCTAATATACAGCATCAAAGTTACATCAAATATAACGTAACCGAAACTATTTGCTCTGGAACAAATAATAGATTAATGACACCAAAGACTGCCCGTCAGATTTACCCAAAACAAATTATATCTCATGTTTAACCACTATAGAGATATCAGAGCCAGCGACAAATTCCAGAAGATCTGGCCGAGGTGAGGCTGCTCTCGGCGGGTTCATGAGCACTGAATGCCCGCTGACGCCCTGGAGCTCACGTCTCTGAAAACGTCGAAGCTAATTTTCAAATAGACATTATCTTTATTAACAAACCGTATATTTGAAGTCTAAACAAGTACATTCTTGCCTAAAAAAACTCTTAAAACTACATTCCGTGACACAAAAACAGTATTATTTTAAATTTTTAGTGGATTTGAGTGTCCGCCATGACACTCGATGTGAGAAATACTGGAAGCGGAGTGATACAATGATGAAAGGGCGTTACTGTGGCGATACCACAATATCTCACTGTTCTCAACCAATCAGATTTGAGAACCATAACGAACTGTTGTATAAATAAATATATATTAGGGCTGTCATCGTTAACGCGTTAACACATGCGATTAATTTTACAATCCTTAACACATTAAAATAATTTTACGCAATTAACGCAAAATTACTGAAGCACAATTTCTATTCTAACCCTTTAACCCAATTTTGCTTCTCTGCTTGCCATTAGATAATTTTAAGCTGCTAAACTCCGGGAAGTTTTCAGTTCAATAATCTATTAAGCGAATGCATTCAAACAATCCGTCTAAAACAGCGCTAATATAAAGGAAACCAGGCTGATTACATCAGAGATTGCAGAGAGAACAGAGACTCGCGTTGTGTTTTAAGTGAATTATTAATTCCAGTGTTTCGCTTTTAAACACAAGCTCTGTCATATTATGTGATTGTCTCTGAAGAGCGTGAGCCCTCACATGTCACGTGCTTGTGTGAAGAACAGACTGAACGAATTGTCAACCAGTGTTGCCAAGTCCGCGGGAATTGGGTTACTTTAACCCAATTGGAGGTTTTTCATGTCCGCGGGTTGAAGTGACCCCAATAACGTGATATTTAGTCCCTGGACTGTAACTTTTACCAGGGGAACCCCATCAAAAAGTTTGTATTTTACCCCCCGAAACGCGATTTTTAGCGGGGGATCGCCCCTGAAAAGCGATTGGGCTAGTTTTGAGTAGCAATTGGGCGGGTTTTGTTGTGAAAACCTGGCAACCCTGTTGTCAATACATCCCACCGCTGTATGGCCAGATGAGACGCAAACTACGTTTTCTCGACTGGATAACCAGTCTCGCTAGTAAAGTTTTGATGGATGAAGACTGCAATCAAGGTAAAGATGATTGCGGTGGCGTACAGGAGTCGTACAGTACAGTAGGCACGCATACGTTAATAATAATGCGTGTATGAGTGCTCTTGACGCACTGATCGCACATTGTATTTATGCACAGGCACAGACATTTCCGTACATTCACGTTGTTTCCACACACATTCACGATAATGTTTTGATTTGTCATGTTTATGTTGCTGTGTTTAGTTATTCTGAATGGATCCGTGTACTGTAGTAGATATATACAGTCAGCAGGCAATTGGTTTAGTTTTGTTTTTTTTGGCATCCCCATGTGGTCCTGTTCGGTATGACAACCTGGCTTCTCTAAAATGTAAAAAAGCTATTTGGTGTTGCACTGTACACATTATAAAATTCTGATTTTTTTCTTTCTTTCATATGTGCTTATATGGCCTCCTTATATCATTTGGTTCTTTGGTGTCCTTTTGGAGTTTCTAAGTGTCCTTTTTTGGAAAGTCATCTAAATTTATCTTGAAAAAAGCTTGCAGAAAATATAGATTTTTGAGTTTTTTTTGGTTGTTAAGAACCAATCTTTTGGTTTACTTTGCTGGATATAGCAAATGATGACAAAATAAACATTTGAAACAAGATAAA